TTCAAGTACTAAAATTTTATAATTTCGTGACATCTATCATAGTAAAAACTAATAATAATAACAAAAATTATTTGTGTATCATGCTCTATGTTATAAAACCTAACCATAATTAATACAACCACAAAAAATCTTGTCTACACGAATCATGTTTTGTTATTAATTCCACTCCATCTGTATACATAAATTGTAACATATATTTAATATTCTCAAGATTTATATTCATATGGAGTTTAATTAGATTTTTAAACAAACTATCAATTATCTAATGCAACTGTCATTTTTTCTAAGCATGGAACCAATTAAACAAAAATTAAACACTAGCGTAAATTCCACAAAACTTACTTCAACAAAGTTGAACTATTAAAGTTTTAAAAAGTTGAAGAATAATTACAGAGAAATGGGGTAGACCCTTAGATACAACCCTTAAGCTATGTCTTAGAAATAAAATTATTCTTGTTGGTGAAAATACCAGAAAAAAATTATATTTTATTGATAAATGATGCAAAAAAAATGAGATACAAATAGATTAGACTGAGGCACGGATATCTCGTTTTCTTTAAGGAGATCAAGCCCATTGCGGTAGGAAGAACCCAAATATCAATGCAGCAGTCACAAAACTATGATTTGTCCCTTCTAGGATACAACAGCCCGATCACTTGTCGTATGGTTCAGGCCAACTCTGCATAAGATGGTGAACTCAAAGCTCCACTAAGAAAAACACCATTCTTTGCTAGTAATCTCTCTTGTGTAGAAAATAGTTTGTGTGTGTTGGTGTAGAAAGAGTAGATGAGAAAGACTATTTATAGGCCATTAGGACTTTACAAGTTACACCAAAAATAAAGATGATCATTAACTAGAGTAAATGGAGTAACTCCAAAAACTAACTCACCACCAAGTTCATGAATTCTAATTACTCTCCATTCATGAACAAGATAAAGGTTACCAAAGTAATGAAACTCCATTCATGAACAAGATAAGAGGTTACTAAAGTAATAAAATTCCATTCATGGACAAGATATATCAATAAATAAATAAAAGATATTCAAATAGACCAACAATTCTTATTAAGGTCTCGTTTGACATGTGTTTGTTTTAATTTAAAAATTAAAAAATTATTAAAAAAATCAAAAAGTGCATAACTTATAAAAAAAAAAGTCAAAAGTTTCATTTTCTCTTTACTTTTTACATATCTTTTCGTAAAAAATCAAAAAATCACTACAAACATATTAATTTTTTTTACCTTATATTTTAACAAAAAAATTAAAAAAACACTACAATAACTTATTTCCAAACGAGTCCTAAGCTTCCATCAAACGAAGAGCTCCCGATTTAGGTCCAAAACCTAAAGACTTATTTTGTTAATATATACTGCGCTATTTTTTCTATGAGAACAACGGTTGAAGCTATTTATTTGTGTTCCTTAAGGGCTTGGGTTTATTTCTTTTAAATTGCTTTTTGCCTCTCTTTTTTTAAGAAAAAAATTATTTTTCACACATCACTCAATTCACACTTCAGATACCTATGTATGTGTGTAAATATATAATGTAAAGTCAACTTTTTATTATTTTTATAAAATTGTAAAAGGCCTGATTTGAGTTTCATCTATTAATTGTAATGGAGCTAAATATAGATACTTTTACGCATGACTGAGATTTAGATGGATAAAAAAACAATCATCAATCTTTACATGGATTGAAAAATAGAACATATCAATTTCTAAATACATTTATACACATGCCAGTGCCACTAGTGTATTTTATTGTTTAGATAGATTTATGCCAAAAAAAAAATATTCAAGAATGACAATTGGCTCTGTGTGGTTTAAGTTTCAAATCATAATTCTACGAGTAAATTATAAATATATTTTTTGAGATTTGTTTAAAATATAAATTATTTTTTGTAGTTTGAAAAATTACAAATACCCCTTTATTAGAATTTTTCATTTAACATAATTAACCAAGAAAATGAAATTCATAATTACTCTGTTATACAATAATAAAATTAACTAAATTATCAATTGAAACATATTTTTAACATCATTAAAAACTATTAATTAACTTGATGATTTATTAACAAAAGGGGCTATTTTGTTATGAAATTAGAAATCTCAAGAAGTGGAATGTAATTTCAAACCACAAGGGGTGATTCGTATTTTAATCAAATATCAGGGAATGTATTTGTAATTTATCCTAATTCCATCCCTACATTTGAATGTTATGTTTGATTTACGTTTTCAAAAATTGATTCCAATGTCATATTTGATTATCGACAATGCTACGTAGCTCAAATTTTGTGGCTCAAAAGTGGCTCAAATGGCCAAAACGACGTCGTTTTGAGTACAGAACAACATAAAAATGGCCAAAACGACGTCGTTTTGGCCATTTGAGCCACTTTTGAGCCACAAAATTTGAGCTACAAGACATTTTCCTTTGACTATATATTCCAATGCATGCTTGATAGAATAAAGTTTTTAAATTTTGAATTTGCAGATTGGGTTTACCTAGTCATCCGCCGGTTGACCGAAACAGTATTTTTTTTTGCAATTGCAACCTGTTATTTTAAAACAAAAATTTTATATATATTTTTGATATTTTTTAAATATAAATTTTTTTTAGAAAATATACAATCAAAAGTAATTTTGAAGTACTAGCTGAATATTTTTTTTAACAAAAAATAATATATTTTCGGAAAATTTTTAATTTTTTAAATAAAAAAATTATTTTTTTCAATAATTATTTTTTTGAATTAAATTTTAAAAAGTGTTTGGTTATGAGTTTTGAGTAGATATTTCAATAGAGTTTTGAGTTGTGTATTTGGTTATGAGTTATAAGTTTTTGAATTAAGTTTTAAAAACTCTTTTCAAAACTTATAATCAAATAACTTTTCTCATTTCAAAAATTCAAAATTTTTTTCAAAAACTCATAACTAAATAAATTTTTTCTTTTCAAATCATAATTCAACAACTCACAGACTCAAAATACAACTCTATAAGTATATAAGTTTATTAATTTTTATAATTTGTAAGTTAAAAAATTATTTATTCACATAATTTCTTTTCTTAAATTCTTTTGTGACAAATAAAATTTAAAAAGTTAACCTACGCTCTAATATTTTTTTAAAACATTGCTTACATACATCTTTTCGTCGCATTTGAAAAATTTTGTGGAAATAAATTGTGTGAATGTATCATTATGTTAAGCCTATATCATTGATCCCCTAGGGCGCGTAGACTGACTTCATGCGATTATAAGAGCTTGGACTACTTTAAAATATAAGACAAAAGTGATAAACAAGGATAAACCTCTGAGGTCGGGTAAGATTTGTTGGGTAATATTCAGAACCCGGGCCCACTATTGGCACGTACACAACAAAAAACCCAATTCATTGACTTGAGGGCCCATAAAAGGCCCATACTGTCACAATTCAAACACAGCAGACCCAACAACAGTGACTTATCGTGCGCCATGTCTTTGTATTCACGCTTAAACCTACGCACCACAACCCCACAACATGAAAATTATTGATTGATTTAGGCACCATGTCTGGTCAATTACAAATTCTCATATTTTTTGTATTTTCAATCAGTTAATATATAAAATCATAAATTCTAATCTTTTCATTAGTGTATTAGTGGAGCTAATGTTTTCCAATCCAAATCAGACCGGTCAAACCGGTGATGAGACTTAATTCTGATCTGAATGACCTTTCAAATCTAAACTATATTAAAAATTAGCTTAGAATTTGAAAATTGAAAGAATCGCTAGTTCAATCAGAATAACTGATGAATCGATCACGGGTCAATACAAGAATTGGTCGAGTTTTAAGAATCAAAATTTATTCTAAAAATATGTTGTGGAGAGGATTTAAACATGTTTTTAAGGCCTCGTTTGAGAACAGACTAATTTAGTAACTTTTTGTCTATTTGATTAAAATATGAACTAAAAAAAACTAGTATGTTGACTTTTTACGAAAATATGTGCAAAAAGTAGAGAAAAAAGAGAATATTTGACTTTTGGATATGAGTTGTTGACTTTTTAATTTTTTTAATGATTTTTTAACTTTTTGACTAAAAAAATCACTTACCAAACGAAACCTAAGTGCATAAAAAATAAGCACCAAACCATTAAACTATCAACACAATTGTTGACAATGTAATAAATATATATATTATATATTTAATATTATCTTTCACTAAAAATAAATCTATAAAAAATATAAAATAAATTTTAAGAAATATTTTTTTAAATGTTTATTATTTATTAATTTTATAATTTTAATATTTATATTTTTTATATTTATAAATTTTAATATATTTATGATATAATTATAATATCACGATTAAATTCCTATTCGCTTACAGTTAAATTAATAATCCATTTATCTGATTATTTTTTCGATTGATTCAACAATTCAATTTTCAAAATATTGAATGGAGCACCACGTCACGATGCCAAGAATCAATCAATAACTTCTTGACAACCAGTGTCAGAGATTGTCAGCATCACAGCCTCCTATGGCCGACCCTTTGAAGCCACCCTTTCCTCCACACGTGTCCTCTAATACACGTCTATGTCTATGTATCATGTACAGTTCATTCTGATTTTTTAAAATTATTTTGATTTAGACCGGCTTCGTTTGAGTTATGAGATGATTTTTTGATTTTTTAATTAGGTTTGATTTATAAAATTTTGTTTAAAATAAATTTTTTAAATTTTATAAAAAAAAAAAATAATTATGATTTAAACATAATATTTTATTTTATAAATTTTTTAATTTATTTTATATTTTTATTTCTAAAATAGTTGAGAAAAAAAAAAAAACAAGATTTTTGGCATGCCAAAGGAAGGCTTATAATAGCAGAATCTTTTGGGTTTTTTTTATGTGGTTTGGTTGGGTGGGTCTTACATTTTTTAAACAATCTCTCTCTGTCTCTCTCTCTCTCTGTGAATTTTGTGGTTTTTCATCAGGGTTTTTGGTTTTCTTTGGTGGGTGTTGAGGTTGGTTTGGATTTTGTTGGTTTTTGAGTTGGGGGTGTGTTGGGATGGAGGAAAAATATGAGCCATTGAAAGAATTTGGTTCTGGGAATTTTGGAGTGGCAAGATTGGTGAGGGATAAGAAGACAAAGGAGCTTCTAGCAGTCAAATACATAGAAAGAGGGAAGAAGGTAATTTTCTAGTCAAACAATGTGTTGATGTATAAAATTATCAGCATATGCCAAACATATCTGTATGTACGTATGTGCTATTAATTTGTTGAAATGGGCTGTCCTGGTCTGTGTCAGATTTGTGTTTTTTTTTTTTTTTTTCTACTTCCAATTTGAAGTTTTGGTAGTTGTATTTGAATTGAGCATTGCTGCCATGAGGTTTGGTGATGGTCAATGGCATGTTGTTTTCATGTTCTTTTGATTGGAAATCATTTTATAATGCCTGAGGCTGAGGGGAACTGTGGAAAAATCAAATTTGGACTTGGAATGTTCTTGTACTAAAGATAAAAATTTTAGGCTGTGATTGGTTAGTCTTCAAATAGGAACTTTAGGCACTGTTTGAAAACTTGTGAGAAGTAAAGGAAGAATGGTCGTCTTTTCTTCTCTTGTTCTTTGAATATACAAGTGTAAACCTTAAAGCTGCATTTGGATTTATGGATTTGAAATAAAAGGAATTTGGCAATAATCATAACTCACTGGAAGAGAATATCTCAAATTTGGATATGGTGATTTGAGAGCTTTACAACGTTAGATTTGAAATGACAATTTAAAAGTTGCAATTTGAAATCCTTCACACTAAAGATTAGAGTTGTACAAAGATCTAATAAAATATTTAAACTTCACTCTCTCTTTTCCTTTAATTTCTCAATCTATTTATAATAGCCAACCCTCTTATATTATTGTAATGTTTACCCTCAAATCCCTTCATTTAAAACCTTTATGTCCAAACGGAATCTAAAGGTCTAAATGTGAATCTGTTTGTATTGATGTTTGATGGCGGCATTTGTATTGATGTTTGATGGTGGCAGTGCAATTTTTTGTTTTTAGTTTGTGGATAATAAGGGTGTTGGCAACAAAGGCAGGTTTATGGATTATGCAAAAGTGAATTACTTGATGTTTGGAGTGATAGGTGCAAACACAATATCTTTGTAATTTTTCTTCAAATCTTTTCACTTTTCCGTGCCTTGTAGTTTCATTGTGGAAGAAATGTATAACTTTCTTCATATGTTGTGAATGGTTTTGTGGGTGTTTTTTTTGTTTTTTGTTGCCTCCTATTTCCATAGCATATTTTTGTGCAAATCCTTTACAGGATTTTATTGGTTTGCTTGATCAAGAAACAAATTAAGGTTGTGTGGTTCATATTTCTAGAGCTAGACTTAAAAGAGAAATTCTTTGGTTTCAAGGAATGTGTTAGGGTCCACCTCACCAAATATCATTAATGAAGATGTTAATGCAAAATCTCAAAGATAGTAAATGCTCTTTCACAATTGAAGAAAGAGTAAGTTCAAGCAATTGAAAAGGAGGTTGTGAAGCATGAATTTTTTCGGTGGGTAGAAATAAATACAGCAGCAAACATATTTGCTGATTTTCTACCACAGATCTTTATCTAGAAAAATAGCACAGTAAAATGTGGTCAGACAGATGGGATTTGGTTTTCCTAGGACTCAATCTCAACTATAAACTACCCTATTCGAGGGAGCTTCTAAGGCAGGAGTAAAAATTCAGTGTAATGGTGACACCGATGACATGGTATGACCAACAAGCAATAAAGTTACATGATGTGGAGGGTCAGCCCAATAATTGTCTTACCACATATACATGGTGGGTAAAAAATAAGAAATGATTGGATGGTGATACCAATGACATGGTATCACTGTTGTATTGAAGTTTTTTTTCCTCAAGTAGAGCAAGAGTTGAGCGGAGTGACAGGTGAGAGATATCTCCTTTTGCTGTATTCCTCAAAATTTGGGCAAAAAACGTGTGTCGTATACCTCCTTTTTGATAGAGTTCGAGTTTACCTATTATTTGGAGAGTTTAGCCACTAGTGCGTTGAGTGGAGAGTGTACTCCCTGTTGAGGGGAGAAATACTGTGAACCCATTCTTTTGATATAGTGGAGATTATATTTGCACCGCGGTTTTTCTACTCTACATAGGAGGTTTTTCACATAAATCTGGGTGTCCCTTATGGCTGTCTATTTTCTTTGTCTTAGTAAATTAATTTATTTTTGTATATTTTAATTTACACTTGACAGTGGTTGGGAGCGTATTGCCCAACAGAATGGTGTCTGAAATTTTGGTGTTGCTAATAATTTAGCTTTCAGTTTAGCTTATAATGTGACAACTCTAAGACTTCAAAATTGAGAATTTTTTAATTTTTGTTTTCTGAAATAGATTATGTTGAAATTCCTGAAACATACAAAAGGCAATTGTCTCATCATCAGGATAGCCTACAAACATGAGAGGGAGCAGGTTTGAGATGGGGGACAGCCGGATGGGTTTATGGGCAGAGCTGGGAATGCTGTTTTTTAGGAGATAAAATAGGTTGACATGTTCTGTATGAGTCAGGACATGTACGTGGTCTACATTTAATTATTAAAGAATCTAAAATTATGTACAAGAAGTTGTAAACATGTAATTTGACAGTAACTAATACTACATAAGGATGGTTAACTTTCAGTAACTAGATGATGGTTATGACTTTAAATTTGAAAAATCAAGGGTAAGGTAATTCTATTTTTTCTCAAAAAAAAAAAAAAAAATTGAACTAAATGGAAGTTGGATGTGCCGTGTTTTTCTTATTTTTGTTTTTGTCTTTTTGTTACAGTTAATGGTAATGCTTGATAATAGCTGAGTTTCAACATACTTCAAACTTATTTGAAGTAGCTTCAAGATTTTTATCATGACATAGTTTTGTTATTCAAGTACTGCAATTTCCACAAAGTTCTATGTAGTAAGCGGTAATCTTTGTTTCGAAGGTGCAATGGCACGTCATGTCGAAACTTCTGTAATTGAGAGAAGACACCTCATATTTTTAAGGCATTCTCACCATATGCCTCAGTTTCTTTGCCTTGTCCCTTAGCAAGTCAGTGCTGTGTTCAAATTTCAATTTTGTTTCTGTATCTTGTGTATTTATTTGTTTTCTACGTACAGAGATCTTCTTGTGGTTTCTGTCTTTTAGGAAAATTGTTATTAATGTTATTATTATTTATTTGTTTCAGATCGATGAAAATGTTCAGAGGGAAATCATAAATCACAGATCATTGAGGCATCCCAACATTGTTAGGTTCAAGGAGGTAAGTATCTAGTTGCATTTTATTAAATTATGCGTGCAAAAAGTGGGGTTTCTAATGTGATTATTTGTCGACGCACATTTCTTGATCTGTATAGTTGCAAAAATGGTCATATTTTTTTTAACATCACAACATACTACGATTAAATTAGTTGAACATTTTTATCTTTTACTGAACCCAATTGAAGAACTGAGAAAGCTTGTTCCACCTCACGTTTTCAACAACTAGACAAGGTAGCAAGGTGTCAACTACAAACTACATGATATTTGTGCAAACATTCGTAGATAATTATTCAAAATTATACTCAAAACTAGTCCGAAAGGGTTTCATTCACACTCTTCTTGGTAGAATATATATCAAAGCATGCTTTAGGAGAAATCTCGTCTGCAGGTATTGTTGACACCGACACATTTAGCTATAGTCATGGAATATGCTGCCGGTGGTGAGCTTTTTGCAAGGATATGCAGCGCTGGTCGATTTAGTGAAGATGAGGTATAAAACCATATGTTCCATTTCATTTGTTTTTTGTCTTGTTGGATTTTCATTCCCTTTTGTGCAAATAAAAGGTTCTATCTGACATTTCCCTTTTACAACAGGGGCGGTTTTTCTTTCAGCAGCTAATATCCGGAGTTCGTTACTGTCATTCAATGGTATAATATTTGGCATTTCTTTTTCATGTTTTGTGTGCATTGTTCATCTTTTTACATCAGCTATTTATTTTATTGTAGGAAATTTGTCACAGGGACCTGAAACTGGAAAACACTCTCTTGGATGGAAGTCCAACTCCGCGGCTTAAAATATGCGACTTTGGTTATTCTAAGGTTAATAATGTTTCTAGTCAGGACTTGGGATGTGTTTCTTCTGTTGTGTTTTTAGCATTTATTTTTGGTGCTGGTAATTTTTATGGGTTTTCTTATTTACTTCTGCTTTTCATAGTTTCATTTTCTTATTCATTATTTATTGAAATTGCAGTCGGCCTTGTTGCACTCGCAACCAAAATCAACTGTGGGAACGCCAGCATACATTGCCCCAGAAGTCCTGTCACGAAAAGAGTATGATGGGAAGGTATATATATTTTTATATTATATTTAATTTTACAATGTACAAAAAGCTTGTTTTTAGCTAGCTATTCACTTTCTGTAGTTTACTTGGTTGTTTGATGGTTCTTCAGTTTTAGATTGCAGATGTTTGGTCCTGTGGTGTGACACTATACGTGATGTTGGTTGGAGCATACCCTTTTGAGGATCCTGATGATCCTAGAAATTTCCGGAAGACCATTGGGGTGAGTTTGCATCAGAATGATTATTTTATAGTGTGATCAACAATCTCCTTCCAATTCAAATTTCAATTGATTTGAGGTTGTTCTACCAGCAAATTTAACTCTCTTTTTATTCTTTACAGAGAATAATGAGTGTTCAGTACTCCATTCCCGATTACGTACGTGTTTCTGCAGACTGTAGGCACCTCCTTTCTCATATATTTGTTGCAAATCCCTCAAAGGTATTTTTCATCTATGAACTATTTCAGTGCCTTTCTCTATAATCATAGTGCAGTATGACCTTAGATGGACATTGAAGCTGTTGAAATGAGCCTTCTTTTGTTTTCTATATACAACGTTTTAAGCATTTCGTTACATCAAAATTATATTTTTACAATTTTGGATAATTTTGTAAGTTTAGCAACACAGTTTTAACGATGATTACACATTTTATAGCTTTTTTTACCGGGCTGATTGTATTTATGCTGGTCAAGGCACTCTTACTAGTGATTGACAGAAACTGAAACATATATTACACAGTTTTGTGCCTGTCTTGGAAAAGACTGATATTTTTTTTTTATAGATAAATTCACATATTTTTAGAACATATTTCCCAATCTCAAATGTTTTTGACCTGATTCGTTATTTTCCAAATTTATGCTGTTTTGGGAAGCCGTGTTATCAAAATACTACTTGCACTTGGGAAATAATTTTTTAAAGGACTCGAGTTTGGTAAATAACTTAAAAAAAAAGTTGTGTAGTTACTAGCCTTTTGTTTTCGTTGTTGTTAATTTCCTTAAAACTTTTGATAACCAACTAACTGTTATAATCCTTCTTGAAGAGAATCACCATCCCAGAGATAAAAAAACACCCTTGGTTTATGAAAAACATGCCGAAAGAGCTAATTGAAGGCGAGAAAACAAATTATGAGGCAGCTGGATGCGACCAACTGCTTCAGAGTGTGGAAGAAATAATGCGGATCATTCAAGAAGCAAAGACCCCCGGCGAAGGATCCAAATTAGTTGACGGGCAAGCCACAGGTGCTGGATCATCAGGTCCTGACGATATCGAAGCCGACTTGGATTCTGAAGTTGACAACAGTGGGGAATATCTCACCCCTTTTTGAGCATTGACCTTGTAATAATAAGTGCTTTCACAAAGTTTGATTTTTCAAGCCTTTTTGTTTGTTGTTCAAGTGAAGATTTATAATTTGTATTAATGAGTCTGTACTGTACAGAACACAATAATATGGAATAAATACAAGATACAAGTAATTTATAAGCTGAATTTGAAAAATTGCAGTGATGTTATTGTAGAGATATCTATTGTTCACTTATAATTTTCTCTTTTTGATTTAATTTATTGGTTCCTTTATTGTTGTTGTGACAAGTGATTTAATTTAGACTTGACAACATGTTCTTCATAAGACATACCTCGACGAAGGCTAAGATTTATTGGTCAGAAAAACAATTTACAAGTTTTGAGATTTTTATTGCATTAATTAGTGAGTGATTTAATTTTGTGGTCTTGTTTGTGAACAAATTATTTTAGTAATATTTTAGTTTTTTACAAAAGAAAGATAAAAGAGAGTAATTTGATAATCAACCGTGCTACGTAGCTTGAATTGGAAGCCTCCCCTCCCCAGAATGGCCTGAAATCTAAAACGATGTCGTTTTGGGATTTTTATTTTTATTTTTTCTTTTTTCCTTCTCGTTTGTCTAATTGTCTAATTGTCTGAAGAAGAAGAAGGGCAGAAGAAGGAGAAGGAGAGAAGAAGAAGATCGCTGGTGAACATCATCATCATCAATAACATCTTCTTCATCACATCAGCATCACCATCACCATCATCAACAATCATCTTCATCTTCAGAGCCATAGAAAAAAAAAGAAGAGAAAACAAAAATCACTATCATCAACACATCATCTTCATCTTCATCTTCATCTTCATCGTCGCACCCTCTATCACTGTCGCCCTGCCCCGCCATTGCCGTCGCCTCTCTCTCTTTGTTTTCCTCTCTCCTCTCCTCCTCCTCCTCTCTCTCTTTTTCTCTCTCTCTCTCTCTCTCTTGCCCTCCCCCTTTTCAGATATAAACGAGAAAAAAAAATTTTTTGCTAAAACGACGTCGTTTGGCATTCGGGGGATTCGAGCGCCATGTATTCGAGCTCTCGCGCATTTTCCTTTGACAATTTATAATAATTTTTTAATTTTTTGACTAAAATATGTTATTTTCAAACAAGGCTAATAATCATAATACAAGTCGTCGCCAAATAGCGAATAGAGAAGGAAAATGTTGAAGATTCTAAATAATATACCAAATGTTTACCAAACTTCTCACATGAGTGTGAGATCCACACAAACTCACATGTGTGTAGATCTCACATCCATATAAGAGATTTGATAAAATATTTAATAGATTATTTGATACTTCTAACATTACTCAGGCCTCGATTGGAACCAGCCCGTTTAGTCAAAAAGTCAAAAAATTACTAAAAAAGTCAAAAGCCAACAACCCATACTAAAAAATTAAAGATTCTCTTTTCTTTATATTTTTTGCACATCTTTTTGTAAAAAATCAAAAAATCATCACAAACATATTAATTTTTTTAACTTATATTTTAACTAAATAATTTAAAAATTATCAAATTAGTCTGTTTTGAAACGAAGCCTCAATACAGAATTTCTTGACCTTGTTTATGAGGCGGCTGAGTGGTCAACTGCTGCTGCTGAGGGCAGCTGCAAAACGCTTCACACAAATTTTGAGTATTAAAAAGTAAATTAGTATTTTCCTTTCTGCCAAAGCCTGCTTGGAAAACGAAATATTTTTTTCTTTTAGAATGTCAGATCGATCACTGGGAGCCTCGAAGTTGTCTGGGGCCACACCACCGCCGGCCACTTTTGCTCCTCTACCGTAACAAAAAATAATTTCATTTGACTCTTAAAATTTTTATAATTTTATTTCAGTGTCTCCAAAATTTGTATTTCACCATATCAAAATATTTAATTCTTTAAATTCTTTATTTAATTTTTTATTATCTCAAAATATTAGTTTCTTTTTAAAAATTAAGAAATAAAATAATATAAATTTACTATTTTATTCTTTTTTTTAAATTTATTAGTAGCATAAAAAGTACAATTATAACAATTGATATTCTCAAAAAAATTACTATCAAAAATTTTTTTTAAAAAATTAATATTTTTAAAATACAATAATTATACTATCAAATAAAGTTAAATTTTCAAAAAAAAAATAAAATTATTACGTTAAAACGAAAAAAGTATAATTTTACCTCATCACCTTTTACACAATTTTTAAGTCCGTCATTGTCGGGTTTTATGGCTATTTTATGTGTTCCTATAGTGTTAATTTTTTTATCCCTCATGATGTGATTTCATGTACTACCTTGCTACAATTTAATTTTTAAATTTAATGACATGACAATTAATTAGGATATTCAAAGTAATATTCTTTTTCATATCTTCTCAATCATCCACCAATGATATCACTAACACATTAGTGGATCTAGAAAATTAGTTTAGAAAGTGGACTTATATATCATTTTTTTTCCAGGTATATATGGAGAGAGGTCAGATTGACCGTCTAATTATAAGTTTGTAAGTCTATCATGAGGCTCATTTCGATAGTTTAAAATGTTAATTTCTTAGAGTCTATATATAGATAAATCATTTTTGAAAATCCTATCAATAGACCAACATAATTTCATCATATTTATATTAAAAAAAAGATAGATAGTATGTTTTCAAAATTATACTTGCCAAGTTGTCATTCATTTTTTAAAAATAAATATGTTAAAATTATGTGATTACGCTTATCAAATTAATATAATTTTTTGTAAGTATAATTTACACAAACATACTTAAAAATAAATAATTTAAATTATGAACATAAGAGTTGTGATAGCCCATAAAACCCAAAACTGGGTTTGCTTGATGTACAACAATTCCATATTTCTATTTTGTTTTATAGTGGCCTTCTAGTGTGGGTTTTCTCACATATATAAAACTGGGTTTGCTTGATGTACAACAATTCCATATTTCTATTTTGTTTCATAGTGGCCTTCTAGTGTGGGTTTTCTTTTCACACATATATAGATGGGTGAGCAAATCCGAGAAGAGTTTTAGAAAGTTTTTTCTTTTTAGGAAGTTCAAATATTAGAATTTGCCTTTGCTCATATGGGCGTCACTACAACAATTTCATATTTCTATTTTGTTTCATAGTGGCCTTCTAGTGTGGGTTTTCTTTTCACACATATATAGATGGGTGACCAAATCCGAGAAGAGTTTTAGAAAGTTTTTTCTTTTTAGGAAGTTCAAATATTAGAATTTGCCTTTGCTCATATGGGCGTCACCAAATTAGGGGCAAGGATTAATATTAATAAGAGTATTATTACAACCGTGATTGGTAGCTTGAAACCCAGCCCCCTGAATCCCCCGAATTCAAAAAAGGACGCTGTTTTTGAATTTTTTTTTTCTTTTTTTTTTTCAGAAGAAGAAAATCAAAAGAAGAAAGAAGAAGAGAGAAGAAAGAAGAAGGAGGAAGGAAGAAGGAGGACTGGAGGGGGCCAACAAAATCGGGCTGGAGGCAAAGGGGCGCTGCGAGGCAGAGGCGGAGGCGGAGGCGACGGCGGGGCTGCGACGAGGCGACGGCGGGCGGAGCTCCTCCCCTTCCCCTCTCTTTTCTCTCTCTCTCTCTCTTCTAAATTTCGGGCTATTTGGGGGGGGAATTTTGGGGAAAAAAACATTTCTCATATTATTATTCAACACAAAAAAATTAAATTAAAATTTTAAAACTAATGATGTGACAATCAATTACTACATTAAAGACAACACTCTTTTTCATATCATTACCCATGTGAGACATTTGGTCATTTGTTTGGTAGAAAATTTGGTATCCCTAGCATTACCATTTTTTCTAATTATTAACTAATTATATCACATATCATGAGGTATAAAAAATAAATTTAAAAAGTAAGTTTGTATATCATTTTTTTATTAATAATTATGTATAAAATATATTAAAAATACATCAACCGTGACTTAAAATTCAAACTAATTCTACATTAATTATTTTCTTCATCAACATCAGCAGACAATAATTAGCAAGACCCAATAAAAAATAAAGGCGGCCACAAGTTACGCCAAGTCTCGTCATTTGGTTTTTGCAAGTTGTTGACCTTGATGCCTTTATACATACAAAACTAGTCTGTTTGAGTTGTTTTGAACTAGTTGGATTACTCAATTTTTTGTAACATGGAAGCTAACAATAAGAGAAGTTGTTCAAGGACCTTTTTCTTCATGGTCATGGTCGGACTAACGTTGGTGCTTGGCTGTGAGGTGGCAAAGGGACAAGGCTTCAGCGACAACCTGAGGCCGAGTGAATGTCAAAGAGAGAGGCAGCTGGTGACAAATGCGTGTAGCCAGGCGGTGTTTGGGCAGCCGCCGACGGTAGCATGTTGTGTATATATAAGATCGGGGCACTTTGAGTGCCTGTGCCCTATGTTCACTCCCAAACTCATCTCCCTCATCAATGTCAACCAGACCATGAAGCTCCTCAATAGTTGTGGAAAAATGGTTCCTCGACACTTTAAGTGTGGCGGTAAGTTCCCATATGCTCTCTCTGGGCTTAACTTAATTTCAATTGAATTTTGGTAGTTCATAGAATGATATTAACATTTTTTTCCTTCTTTTTTTTTTCTTTGTTGCTATTTTTCTTGTAGGTTTAAACTTTCCATGAAGATGCTCCTTGCTCTTGCTCTTGTGAATTTCGATTGAAATTTTTTTACAGAGAAAATATCATTCCGCCTTCCAAATTTTCATTGTTTTTCAATTTAACCTCCAGATTTTAATTAATATCAATTTTATACTTAAATTTTCAAAATTTTAATCAATTTGACCCCTGCCATTAGATTCCGTCTATAATTGGACAGAATGTGTTGATGTGAGGAACAAATTGATTTTTAAGGTATAATTTGGGGGTAAAATAAATTCTTTAATAAATTTTGGTGTCACGTCAACACATTTCGTTCAATTGTAGATAGAATGTGATAGCAGAGTTTAAATTCATCAAAATTTTAAAAGTTTGAATATAAAATTGATATTAATTAAAGTGTAAGGATCAAATTGAAAAACGAATGAAAATTTAAAAGTAAAATGATATTTCCTCTTCTTTACATGATGTTATTCAGAGTACAATAAGACAATAGAATTATCCTGATTAATGGTTATTGTTGTGTGTGTATATATATAAGAAATGGATTAATAAATATTTGTCACCAGTGTTTTTT